AAAACATTGCTTTACAAACCTTAAGACTGAATACAAAAATTTGATATTTTGCATATGAAAGTACTGTGATGTTTACTGATAATGTGCTAAATTTTGTTAACACATGCTTACTAATTTAAAAGTTATAGCATGAAAACTATAACAAGCACAAAATGGTTACGAGGTTAGTCCCAGGGACTGAACCTGTGCTGAAAGAGTTAAACATTATTATGTTTTTACATAGGAACAAGATCTAGAAATCATACCACATTGGCAAAAATCAGTGTTTAATGAGCATTTGCTGCTTTTTTAATTTCTATCATGATAATGTGCATGGTCAAACATTCTACAAATTGGTGTCACGTATGGTATTGTTATGTAGTAGTGTGATTTATATCAGCTTACATGACACACGTATACATAAAAATAAAGAAATAAGATAAAATCATTTTAGGTGCTTCTCTCTAAAAGTGTAATCCATATAAAATTATATTGATAATGTATTATTTCTCATGATTCATTTTCCATAGGGAACTACAAGTGTCAGCTTTTTGACCCCAGAACTGGGGGATTTATGCCTTCAAGTCCAGGAATAGGCATGTATGTTGAAGTCAGAAATCCAAGTGACAAGGTGATTTTGTCTCGTGTATACAGCTCTGAAGGCCGATTTACTTTCACGTCTAGTTCTCCAGGTGAACATGTGATTTGTCTGTACTCTAATTCGAGTAAATGGTTCAGTGGAACACAGTTGGTGAGTTTAAAAACTTTGTCAGCATTGCACATGTCACGTGGTATTTATGTAATATGTCTTTATTCTAATTCTAACAAATGCTTTAGAGTGAAACTGAAGGGTTGAAAAAGATATGATGATATTGTGCAGTTGTTTAATCTAGAGATCAATATGTGATACGTTTACTTCAGATCTAGCATGTAGCTTAGTGAGGCACAGCTAGTAAATTTAAGAGAATTTGGCTGTTTATTAATACAATAGTTCTATCAGGTAGATACAATCTATATGAATTTTAGACTTAACAATGAAAATTCAGATGTTAAATTTCTGTTTAAAGAAGTGAAAGTAAATAAACCATATCTTTGAATAATGCAGTTTATACACTTCAAACATACTTTGCTTTATATTCTTTTTAGAGTAAATCTGGCAAATGGAAAATTTTATATAATAACTTGGAAAATTATAACTTTTAAATTGTTTGTACTTTGTGTTTGAATTTTTTTATATCCTTTAACACAAGTATTTTACAAGCTTTAGATAAGTGAACAGTATAGGGAAATACTTAATGTAAGTAAGATTCATAACCCCTTTTTAAAGCTTTATTTAAGTCTAGCTTTAAGACTTGGTGTAATTACACTTTCCAAAACATACATACCTCCACTGACACTAATAGCTATTTCTCAATCTTCATTTTTGCCATCTAAAGTTGTGTTTGCTTGCTCCAGTCTTTATATACCCCACTTGACTGCCTTTATTAATATCTAATTTTCAAAACTTTACGCTGGACCTCGCATGCCCTCTATGCAGGTACTTTATATAAGCATTGTATGCAGACAATAAAATCACTTTTTCTTGACAAAGCACAAGCATTCAGACTAAGGTTTTGTTAGTTTTTGCTTTCTAATAATTGGGAATTTTTTGTTTTGTTATCTAGAGATATATTTCATTGAATTTGTTTTTTGGTTTTTCCTACAAATATATTACTAAAAAAAATTGGATATGAATACCTGTGTAACAGTTTCAAGCACAAAGGCTACTCAGCCTTCGTCTATTCCTCCTTTGTTATCTAGTGGTGGTCAGCAGTTGGGGTGGGGTGGAGCCACTCTCCATGGAAGCCACCTGTGACCTGATTTGGGGTGAGATGGAGTCCTTCATGCGGCCCGGGGATATCTTAATGAGAGGTGCTGATTTGAGTTTTCATTCTAAAACAGGATATTCTGAGGAGAATTTAGACTCCCTGTTTCCTGCTCCTTCTTGCACTAGTAGCTAATAATCCATATTTTAATACATATACAAGTTTTAAGTTCTTAATTCTACAAGGAAATTATAAAAAAATCCTGAAATTCCACTAGTGTAACACATGTGCCACATTTTGTCTTGACATGTCATCATTCTATTTTATCCATCACCTCTCGAAAATGTACGAAATTAAACCTAAAATACACTCTATAAAACTGTTATTGCTGAAACAGATCATAATTTTTATAAACTTCAATTTTGTTTAGTGACAGAGCTATTCAATAGAAAATCAGACCCCCTCCTGCCACACCCACTTGTCACATCTTCTCTTTCAGAATTTGTTGATAGTTCTCTCATACGTTTCATTATATATTACCTATAACCAATAGAAAGTCAAG